TGCACATCAGGGCGTGACGGGTAGTTAAACATAACACTGTCAAATTGCACATTACCTTACCATAAATGTGTCCTGGGGGTTTAAAGAGATGACACAAAGAGAGATATGTTAGCATCTGTCTAAAGAGTGGTATTACAAGAGTGTTGTGTTTTTTTCGGTTTGGCTTTGTGTTAAAATGTACCGGTGACTCTCCCGCCTGGGATAGATTATCAATGGCGGGCTCTCTGCCCATCAGTGCCATGAGGTGGGCAGCTGAGATTTTGGCCTTAGCGTAGTTTGGAGCGAAGGAGTTGGCCTCTCCGAGAGCCATGGCTCCGTACAGAATAGCAGAAACCACACTAGGAGAGAAAATCCATGCACGTTAGTTTTATCATTCATATTTTCAGTCACAGGACAAGCATTTTTAAAGTGCTTTACAAGCGCATATAGATATATTAAATATATCTAACAGAAGTTAAGAAATCATGACCCAATTCCACAGCAGTCATCCAATATGTATAAAGACATTTTCTCAAGTTTAAGATACATTTTCTCTTAGTTTTGTCCATTACTTTGGTTAATGAACATGAAACGACACAAAACTAATCATGACATTCCCATCAGCCTCAGTAGCGTGTCCAGTGAGCGCCTTCATCTCCACAGCGCCGGCCACCGCCATGAAGGGCACCACCGACAGGACGAGCAGCGTCAGCTCCCAGCCGTACACGAAGGAGATGATAATGCTGGTGCCCATGTTGGCGAGATTCTGGGCCAGCGTGGCCATACGCACTCCTGTAGCCTGAGCAGGTGGGAACAAAGCAGACGACAAGATCCCTGATTTTCTTGGACGATTCATTGTTCTAGTCTTTGTGAGTGTGTATGTGTGTTTGCTGTTGAGACTTACCCCTTGCACTTGGGCTGCGTCTGTGGCCAGTCTCGTAGTGAGCGCTCCAACACTGTTTTTGGGGTTGTCAAACCAGCCAAGGTCCTTTAAACAAATGTGTATTAAAAATAAATACTATACATTAACTCGTAATTAAAAACGTTAAATAAACAACAGCAGTCAGAAATGTCTTACGTGCCACATTGTTTTAATTAGGCCTGGGATAATATGGAAGTATCACGATTGTGCTGGACAAACTTGTGGGTGACAATATTTTCCGCATAATCATCATAATATTCTTAAAACACTAAAGCATACTGGAATCAGTTTAGCATACATTTTGTAAATAAAACTTTAGTTTTTATCCCATCAAAGCTACGATATATCATTTTTAAGAAAACAACATTTTAAGTGAAACAAATATATTAAAAAACAATCAAAGGAAATCATAATTCATAGTTTTTCCCCTGTGTAAATAAAAGATACATAATGTTAAGAAAGCAAAATGTTTGAGTCTGTCCTTTCCTAAAACATAATCAACTTATTCTGGTTCTATTATTGAATTAAAACGATGTAGCTTTATACTTCTTGACTTGGTTATTGTTTATTAATAATTGAATTTGTGATGAAGCTCAGCCCAGAAAGAGATATAGCACAGGGGAGAGAAAGAGGTGAGACTCTGTTTTATTAATAATTAAGCACAGGTCTTTGTGCAGGTCTCAGATTTCTGTTATTTACACTCACCTGTCTCATCATGGCTTTGAAGGCCCCGAGTCTCAGTTTAAGAGTCAGGATCTCTCCAGATTTCCCAAAACAGAAGCCCTGTGAACGTTTACAGTCAGAAAACGTGAAAAACTGGACATAGCAAAAACGTCTGTCACAGCACCTGCATGTGTTTATACTGCAACACTATCATCACGATAAAGTGTGTGTGTGTGTGTGTGTGTGTGTGTGTGTGTGTGTGTGTGTGTGTGTGTGTGTATTGTACAAAATCTGCCAAATTTAAGTAGCCCTTAACGTCAGCTAAATAATCTGACTTCATCTCTCCCTATCTCGTTGCTAAGCAGCAGGGTGACCACAGAGGCTTCCTTTGAAGAAGAAGATTTCATCTTATTTCCATGATTTAGGGCAGGTTTTAATTAAATATCATGTATATTTCAGTCACTTTTGAAAAACAACCTTTATCTTCAAAAGGAATTTACACAGACCTAATTTCCTGTGTTAAGTAAATTGCATTTACTCTCTCAGCTAATACTTTTATTTAACATTCACACAGAAAACATTTTGGTACATTGACAACCTCTGAAAACCTGAAATATGAAATCAACTATAACAGAAAAAACCAATGTAAAATGTGTTGTACATGTTTGCTGTTGCAATTCAAATTCTAGGCAAACTTGAAGAACAGCATACAATGTACTCCACTATACTCCACATTACACATATTGGTCTTAGAAATTGTATATCTATGAAGACGGTTGCAACAGTCCGGTCAAATGTATTTATAGATCACATTTCAAGAAACCACAGATGTTGACCAAAATGCTTTACAGAGACATTTAAATTACAATAAATACCACTAACCAATAGGCCTGGTAACATTTTGTAAATTGGCTTAAGATGGGTCAAACCTGGGTCAAACTCATCGATTTCTCCTTTGGATCAACTGAATAAAGCAGTTCATTTAGAGTCAGACTGTCAAAGGATCATCAGCGACTGTCCGCCCACACAGATGTTTAACGCTGCATTTAAATGTTACTGCTGAGGTTGTTTTTCACCCTTACCCCACAAACAAATGTCCTTATTGGAGGTCTTTTTCACAGAAAACATTTTGAACACAGGTCCAAACATGAATAAGATGAATAATACTGGAACACTTGAATAAAACTGAGACATGATTGATATTATGATTAACACCAAAATATAAAACTATCTTCTTCCAGCACAGTACCATAAATAATCAACTTCTAAAAGTTGTTTTCACAGCAGACATTTTGTCATTGAAGGAAAAGCACAACAAATATAATTAATGATGCCTATTTTCTGTACCATTCCAAGATCTTGAAACTGGCTAACCTAAATGGATTGAAGTTATTAATGTTATTGATTACACCTTTGCTATTCCTGCTGTGACATGTCAACATGTCTATTGAAAAGCTACATCAACAAGATTAGTTGTAAGGTTAATTGGGGTCTGCAGCTAAGGCTGACTTCACCACACATGGAGGAAAAGCTGAGTGAGGCAACATTATAAAGAAAGTGTCCATTTCAGCGGAGAAGGCTTTTACAGACAGGGGAGATCAGGGAGATTTATCACAGCACCACAAACATTTGCCTAAAACTCACAATCTGGAGAAACCATCAGTCATAAACCCAAGAATATAAAGTGTATCATACTGAAAATGAAATATCAACATTTTAGAATAGAACCAGTAAATGTTTGCCATTTTGTTTAAGAATGCCTAAAATGATTCATCAATCTGCCAGTCGAATTATGCAAATCATTTCAGGTCTTTAGGATTCTGTCTCACAGTCTGGAAGAAGAGGATTTTGACAACAGTAAAGCTGCTTCAGGGGAAAACAAAAGAGGGAAAGAATATGTAAGAAGTTGTTTTCTTGCTTCTATTTTGTGCAGGTCTTTCTTTAAAACTACTAATATTTCATCTTCGGTTCATTCCTTTTGCCAATCTGACATCACTTCTCTGCCTCTTCTCCCTCCTCTACTAGTGCCATTTAGCGAGATGATGCCTGGTGCGGAGGCAGGAACAACCAGAGTGTTCATGTATACATGAATAGAGAATTGAAATAAAATACCAAAAACAGAAAAATGTTTGGTGTGTATTTCTAAAATCTTGGGCTTAGTCAGTGTAATCGAGAGTGAAATGTGATTGTTGTTAATGGATGCTGCTGATGGTGGGCGTGAAGGTGTATCTGTGTGTTTGAATGAATGAAAGAGATGCACATGATGTACAAAACAAACAGGATTACGGAATTTACCTGAGGTCAGCCAGCTGATATTTGATAATTGTTTCAATAATATTGTTATGCATCTTATCCAGCAGACAGAATGACTTTCTTATGAAGACATATTTTAAACATTGATGTGCTCCCCAAGCTAACCTCAAACAAAACGCCTCTGACCTCATTTGATTAACAAATCTGCCGTCAGACGCAGTTTCATCCCTACCTGCACACCGTGAGCAGATTCCTCCTCTCCACCGCGGAGCTCCTGCCTGATCCCCGCTTGCGGACGAGATGCAGCCCCACGCCGAGCGACGCCATCCCCGGCCCGTGACGGTGTCTGCGGGCGGAGGCGGTGCGTGGTCCCCGCTCCTCTGCCTCTGCACCAGGGGAGGATCAGCTGGCTGTCTCCGTCACCTCCGAGCAACTCACGCTGCTCAGCTGAAGGAGGGGCTGCACACAAACCTGCGTCAAGTCAAAATGATAGAGCTTCCGGATTGAACCTTCAGAATAAAAGCTCTCCCTCCACGTTAGCTAGTTCTAACAAAACATCCACGGTAATGAGTACTATTTAGTCGGAGAGATTTGTAAAACCTCATTGGACTTCTTCAACAAATCGGTGACATATTCGTCCAGAAAGATACGCGAATGGGCCCCGTTTAGGTAGGCCCAAAACCAGTGGCGGCTGGTGGAAAATATTTTAGGTGGGGCTGTGGAAATGGTGATCACACAATACTAGGGGGCATTTTTTTTGAGAAAAGACCCCTAAATTATGACTTCTGGTGATGTTAGAGGGGGGGGAGGACAAATTGAGGCTTAAAAATATGAGAAGACTGATCAATACCTCCATAACTTCAGTGTGGTTAGCTATGAATCTTCCAAAACTTCCAAACACCTTGTCCTGGACATAGTTTTGAAGTAAAAAGATATGATTCTACACTGTATTGAAGTAAACATGTATAATTTGAACTGTTTTAGGTAATCACAAACGGGTTTTGATAATCACCAAATAGGAATGTTATTCTCACTTTCAAACTCACTGACCCAGAGATTCTGTGTCACACACCAACCTTGCCTGTATCACCCCTGAAAGCCAGATGCTGTTTTTAAGTTGTTAAAGACATCGTTAAATAGGTGAAGAACTCATAGGAAGGGAATGTGGTGTAGATAAGGTGGAGATAAACGTTGACTTTTGACCTGGTGAAATTTAGGATCTCACTCTCTGTTCGGAACTCTGATTGACCTCGACCAGAAGCAAATCCAGCCAATCAGGACACTTGGGGGAGGTGAGCAGTTTAAACAGCTCCTCCCCAGGGCTCTCTAATTCGCTTGGGAGGAAAATGGGAAGGAAGAGTCGACAAATCTCCGCCCCAAAAAGATATGAATACTGATGTTTTGAGTGTAAAAATGCTTTTTGGTTTGGTGAGTTTGTTGGTCCTGATATCTGTGTCCGCATCGCATCACAAACCTGAAGTCCAATTTCTTTTTGGTTTGATGAGTGGATGGTCCTGACACATTTATCTGCATCGCATCACAAACCTGAAAGTCCGGAGTGCTCGAGTACTCTGTATAACTTGTATATGTGTTTGGTTTCCTACTAGAAGTAAACTCAGATAATTTGTTATAACTTTGATTCCGGTGTTTTCAATTCCTTTCTTAATTTAATAGAGATCCAGCCTCATCCAACGAACGGCGCGTAGCAGAGGTGTTTCTGCTCCAACAGTTTCTACTAGCATAAACTGTGCTAACAAGCTGAGATTCCAGATTCTAGAAATATAAGTATCATCACTGAGCGATCAGAACTCGCGACAGGGGAAGCAATACAGACATCACACGACGTAGCTTTAGGTAGCAAAACACGGAGATATGCTCACCTTTTGCAGCATAACAATTCTGATCAAAAACGAGAAAAACGCAGCTGAAGGTTAATCCAATGTGTCTGTCACAAATGATTGATGATCCATAATTCCATTTTTATGTCAAAAACGGAGTTTTCATTAGCTGCTAATGTAGCTTCCAGAGTGTAGACAGCTTCCTGTTTTGTCTCCTTGGATACGAGTCCAAACAACTCACAGACTGCACCGGGCGCTCACGTAGGAGCCCTGTGACCATCAGATTTGACGACGCTGATTGGCTGAAATTATGTTTCGGCGGCATAGTTTAAAGATAGCACAGTTGGCTTCTGCTGCACTTGCTGCCTCTCGTCTGGGCGCTGTGCATTAGTGATGGGAATTCCGGCTCTTCTTGGTGAGCCGGATCATTTGGCTCGGCTCACCAAGAAGAGCCGGCTCTTTCGGCTCCCAAACGGCTCTTCAGTTTACCACATATTATACCTTTTATAATTCAATCAAATGTAGCCTTGTTTTGACTAATGATTTATATGTGTACACATATCACTTAAATTATTCAATACATCCTTTGTACTGAAGTATTCAAAAGTAAAAATTACATGTCAATTATTCAATTATCAATTATTTGCTGTGGCCAATTGTTTTCATCATTTGCATTTACAGACCCTTGTATCTCTCTGATACCACCCAATGAATGCACAGACTTGCTTGTAGAACCACGCTACACAAAGCAGATAGCAACACCTATACAAAACCCGAGGTGACAGGGCTTTCAGTGTTGCAGCTCCTAGACTGTGGAACAGCCTCCCAGTACATATCCGGACTGCTGAGTCTATTGAACTTTTTAAATCTCAGCTAAAAACTCACCTCTTTGCACTGGCTTTTAATACTAGTTGAACATTACATTTTTACATTTGTAGTTTTTTTTTAATATTTTTCTAGTTATTGTGCTTTTATCATGTTTTTAATTATTGTTTTATTATTGTACTCCCATTGTGTTATTTAATAGTATTGGCCTGTACAGCACTTTGGTCAACTGAAGGTTGTTTTAAATGTGCTATATAAATAATAAAGATTGAGATTGAGATAAAAACTTAAGCATAGACATTTTAAAAAAGGGGCTACTGTATCGACATTAAAATTATATTTAAAGAAAAGGCCCTGACAAAACAGCAGGGCTCTATTTCAGTAGTAACTATAGAAAAAAGACAGCAACAGACATCAAATCTTTGCTGAGCCCAAGGATATCATAAATAAATAACATAGTGAAAATAAATATATTGCAATGCTCAGTACAGCAGCGCCAACAGAGGAGTAATGATACACGGGCAAGGCCAGGCAGGAAACATGTGACTTATCAGTAACTTTAGACATCGTAACACAATTTTAAACAAGATTTTATTGTAGATTATACATTTTACTGATACCAATTATATAATATTTACCTTGTTTATTAAAAATAAATAAAAAATATTTTTTAAATATATTTTTAATTTTTTTAATTATTTTTCTTTTAACGTGGGAAGAGGGGGGGGGCGGCGCCCTAGCGCCCCTATGGGCCGGCCGCCACTGCCCAAAACCATACAAATGTTTTCGAGTGTGAATAGTGGAGCTGTATTTTCCTACAAAACGTGAATCGACTACTTAACTTACCTGAAGGCATGTGCATGTGTTGTAAAGGATACTCATAAACATGACACATAAGGTCGCCCAACCCACCAATTTCGGGTTCATATGTGTGTAAATATGGTAGGCCTTGTGTCATGTGCCTCCCAATGACCACACGGCACGTCACTTACACTTACAATAGTTATCATACAACAAAACAAAACTGTTCAATTTATGAAAAAACTCTCTTTTGTTATGTTTAATATTTCAATGACATACATTTTCTGATGTGCGCCTAATTAGTGCTGACTTTTATTTTGAAGCCAGATTTGTCCAGCCGGTAGTAAGAGTCTGTAAACAAAGGAGGTTTCACTGACACTACAGGGTCCTGGAAGAAATTGTGTGTCACCAGTGTGAGAAGTTCAATAAAAGGTGTGGAGCTGCTTCTTATTAATTATACATAACATACACTGATATAATGTGTGAATGGCATGTCTGTTTTAATTTCAAAGAGATAAAAAGCTGATAAATCTAACAAAATGAATAAAACAAATCTGAATCTAGCATTTTCCTCCTTAAACTTCACTTTCAATAATTATAAGGTCCAAATAAATAAAGGCTTAACATCTGGGTATAACTCCGTTTACAAAATACAACTAAATATTTCACAGCATCATAAAACATTAGGCCATAGTATATCACATTATGAAATGAGCAATAGTGAATATGAGTTAAAACCATGTGTTACCATGTTGCAGTGCTGTATTTTGATTTTAAACATGAGGCATTCCTAGCATTCTGCCATTTCAGCTAGGTTAATCAAAAAGAAAAAACATAATTGTCCATGTTTTTTAATTTAATCTCAATGATGGCTTGTTAAAGTATAAGAAAAATATTTTTGGTCAAGCTCAGGATGGTTTAAAACATTTATTTTTTAACATCCCCAGTTACTGTGTCCACCCTGTTAATGTGAAACATAGCAACAGGGTGGACATTTTATGCTAAACTTGGCTATTGCTACATGCGTGATGATAATCAAGCTAGCACTTGGTGGCAACAGAAACATATATTTGATAGATATATTCACCATATTTTCTAAATGTAAAACAAATGATCAGTTTCCATTAAAACTGAGCATAACAGCGTGGACATGTTATGCTTTACCGCAACAGTTAAGTTCTTTAAAAAAAATTAAAAAAACGTTGAAGGAAGAATGCATACACACTCTGCTTCTTGAAGATGATTTTCCCACTCAAATGTATCCTTCTTCTTGAGTCATACCAGAGCCGTATATAGAATTATATATATATATATATTATACGGCTCTGAGTCATACGAATAGTAAAGGGCGTGTCCAGAGGGATTCAAATCAGAGTAACAGGGGGGACATTCAAACAGGGGACACACACACTTTAAAAAAAACTTTAAACAATAAAAATGAATTAATAACAAAAACTTAAATTTGGTGAGGAATATTAGCAAAGGGACACAGCAATTTGGCCTACTTGTGCTAAAATCAGAGTAATTATTTAGAATTTTGAATATCCTGGGTAAATAACATTGTTGTTTTATGGTAGAGGGGGATACATATTTAAAACCAAGCTTTTAAAAAATAAGCATTAGACCTTATAAATACAAAAGATATGATATAATGTATTGGGACTTGAATTCAGTTGAGTCATCTTGAAGGAGGAGAGCCCCATCTAGTGGTCCCAAAGAAAACAGCACATTGTTTTCCACTGTTATGATCAGGGGTGCACATAACTTTTTTGAGTTACTCAGATGAGTACCAAGAGACAGCGTTTGGTACTCACCCCACACGAAGCGTGGTCCTCCTCAGTGTCTCCTTCACTGTCCTCAATTTACACTTCTTGCATGCTAGATGATGAAGATGATGAAGATGCACCTCCCTGTCTCTTTTTAAGCCTCCGATTTGCTTTCTCCAAAACTTGTTGCCAAAACTGTGAAGTCCTTGCATTTCCTGAGGCCAAGTTGAAGGATCAAATACTAAGAAATGATCACATGACTTGAAGTCATATCTGATTTCAAATGTGGGAAGTAACAAAGCACACTTATTTACTCAAGTACAATTTTGAGATACTTGTAGTTGACTTGAGTATTTCTATTTTATGCTACTTTGTACTTCTACTTTTACTCCACTACATGTATTTAATACCTTTAGTTACTTTACAGATGTGGATGAATGATG